ATTTGTAACCAGACAAGTTTGACGCACAGGAACAGAAGGATTGAGGGCCCTGCTCAATGAGCTTACATGCTAGAGGGAGTGGGGTATAGTGACACAGAAGGTAATGGTAGGGTAGAAAGGTAGGTAGCTAGGATATGTTGCATATGCTATTTTGCGGCTGTGCTTTCATTAGCATCCTGAAAAGCTTCAGTAGCATGCTATTCATGGGTAGAGAGGATGGGGCACAGCATAAAACAGTCCCCCATGGAAATCTAGGACCACAACTGCCTACCAGGACTGGATTGTCCAAGTCTCTCTTAACTGGTCATATGACTTTATGACAGTTATTCAGTCTAACCCAAAAAGATTACTCAGAGAGCCCGAGAAATGTGGGCCGCATTGTCAACGAGGGAAAATCAAGAGTTGTTGTGTAATATTTCTGAGAGGATACATGTGTTGTTGCTCATGTTGCTAAACTGTTTGGTATAGTGTAGGGATGTGCATGGGGGAAAAATTCAGTTCGGTTTGGCATTCCGAAATTCGGCACTTCGACACTTCGGCACTTCGGTTCGGCACTTCAGCACCAAGACACTCCGGAACTTCTGTACTTCGGCACTTCGACACTTCGGAACTTCGGCAACTTTGGACCTTCGGCACTTCGGAATTTCTGAACTTCGCAACTTCGGGACATCGGAATTTCGGGACTTCGGATGTTCTATTGCAGCCGCTTAGTAGATAACTCCATAATTCCCATGGTATTAGGGAGCTATCGACCAAAAGGCTGAAATACCTACCGTATTTTTCGCTCCATAAGACGCACCTCACCATAAGACGCACCTAGTTTTTAGAGGAGGAAACCCAGAAAAAAAAATATTCTGAACAAACTGTACCATAGTGTTTCTTACCATGGGACAGTTTGTTCAGAATATTTTTTTTTTCTCCCCTGTCCCATAATGATCTTTAACCCCCCTTTCCTCTGTCCCATAGTGATTGTTAACCCCTCCTACCCTGTCCCATAGTGATTGTTAACCCCTCCTACCCTGTCCCATAGTGATTGTTAACCCCTCCTACCCTGTCCCATAGTGTTCTTTAACCCCTCCTCCCCTTGTCCATTAGTGTTCTGATCCCATAGTGTCCCCCCCTCCCATTGTTCCATAGTGCACTTTCCCTCCCATAGTGTCCCCCCTGCCCTTGTCCCATAGTGTCTCCCCCTCCCCTTGTACCATAGTGTCTCCCCCTCCCCTTGTCCCATAGTGTCCCCCCTCCTCTTGTCCCATAGTATCCCCATCCCCTTGTCCCATAGTGTCCCCCCTCCCCTTGTCCCATAGTGTCCCCCCCTCCCCTTGTCCCATAGTGTCTCCCCTCCCTTTCTCCCATAGTGTCCCCCCTCCCCTTCTCCCATAGTGTCTCCCCTCCCTTTCTCCCATAGTGTCTCCCCTCCCTTTCTCCCATAGTGTCCCCCTCCCCTTGTCCCATAGTGTCTCCCCCCCTCCCCTTGTCCCATAGTGTCTCCTCCCCTCCCCTTGTCCCATAGTGTCTCCTCCCCTCCCCTTGTCCCATAGTGTCCCCCCTCCCTTTCTCCCATAGTGTCTCCCCTCCCTTTCTCCCATAGTGTCTCCTCCCCTCCCCTTGTCCCATAATTACTTACCTGTCTTGGAGCGTGGGCCGGCTTCACAGCGCGCTCCGCGGTCCAGGAACTTCTATTTCAGGTTCCGGTTTCCGGCGGGACCGAAAGGAAGTGTGCACACTCAGTGTGCACACTTCCTTTCAGTCCCGCCGGAAACCGGAACCTGAAATAGAAGTTCCTGGAGCGCGGAGCGCGCTGTGAAGCCGGCCCACGCTCCAAGACAGGTAAGTAATTCTTCACATTCGCTCCATAAGACGCACAGACATTTCCCCTCACTTTTGAGGGGAAAAAAAGTGCGTCTTATGGAGCGAAAAATACGGTAAATTGGTCTTTCAGCCAAATCTACTAATACGAAGTAAAAATTACTTAGTATTAGTACATTCTGCCCCTACTTGCTATACCGCGAGTAAGGGCATGTCCATTAAACAGTGAGCAGCCTGTGCCTGTGCCGCGAGTGAGGGCTTTTAAACTCAAGGGGGGACCTATTGCCCCTCCCAGCCCCCACCCCTGAGCGGTGGGTGGGGGCCCTAAATTACTTCAAGGGGGGGACCTATTGTCCTCCTCCCGAACCCCCACCCCTGAGCAGTGAGTGGGGGCCCTAAAATACTTCAAGGGGGGACCTATTGTTCTCCCCCCTGGCCCCCAACCCTGAGCTGTGGGTGGGGACCCTAAATTACTTGAAAGGGGGGACCTATTGTCCTCCCCCTGGCCCCCACCCCTGAGTGATGGGTGGGGGCCCTAAAATACTTGAAAGGGGGGGAACTATTGTCCTCCCCCTGGCCCCCAACCCTGAGCTGTGGGTAGGGGCCCTAAAATACTTGAAAGGGGGGGGACCTACTGTACTCCTCCCGGCCCTCATCCCTGAGCTGTGGGTAGGGGCCCTAAATTACTTGAAAGGGGGGGATCTACTGTCCTCCCCCCGGCCTCTCCCCCTGAGGGGGGACCTATTGTTCTCCCCCCTGGCCCCCAACCCTGAGCGGCGGGTGGGGGCCCTAAAGTAAAATAAAAGGGAGGGGACCTATTGTCCTCCCCCCGGCCCTCATTCCGGGGGTGTACAAAAGGCCCTGTCTATGACATCACTTGCTGCTCCAGCCTGGCACAGGTCAGAGTATTTTGGCGGTTGCCATCTTCAAATGGTCGTATTTTAAAAACTATAAATCCTACAGCTTTGTAAGCTGAGGAGCTTTATAGTGTGAGAATCACAAGACCCAGACCTATATTTTGATGCATAGTATGTCTCTGAAATATTAAAAATGAAGGCACAGTTTAGAAATTGCCTTTCAAATTTGAGCTGGCTAGAGTGGAGTTTCAATGAATGTCAATGGACGGCGTGAGTTGCAAACAAATGGTCATACTGTGAAAACTATCAGGACTATGGCTTAGCCGTGGACATGTTTAGTGGCAGCAAGGATAGCTGAATGTTTTGATATAAAATTTGTGTAGGTGGGCTTGAAAATGAAGGAGTGGTGGCAGTTTAGAAATCATGTCCTGATTTCTCAGCTTTTGCCAGCTCCCACTCTAGTTTTGAACATTTCGCCATTCATTCCTATGGGACCAATTTCACCACAAGAACGATGATATTCCGTGAACCATTCAGCGAAACGTTCCACAAAGTAATAGCACACCAATCGGGAACAATCCGCACGTTTCGGTATATTACTGTCTATGTAGTGTAAAAACTGTGGGAGGTAAATTTGGCTATAATATGAATAATAATATATATGTGAGATAACATTAAGTGGTCTTGCTATGCAAGAACACTTAATAAGGGGGGGACCTATTGTCCTCCCCCCTGACCCCCACCCCTGAGCGTTGGGTGGGGTCCCTATATTAGAATAAGGGGAGGACCTATTGTCCTCCCCCCTTGCCCCCACCCCTGAGCGGCGGGTGGGGTCCTAAATGAAAATGTAATCCCCCCAGGTGACTAGGGGTCCCCAAACCCCTAGTCACCCCCTTCCCAAAAACAATTAACCCCTACCTACCCCACTCACCCTTAAAATAATGAGGGGGGACCATTAACTAAGTACCTGTAAAAAAAAAGAAAAAAAATCTTACCATTTGATGTCTCCTTTTTCTAAAATCTTCTTTTTTCATCCCCATAAAATGCCAAATAAGAATCCATAATGACCGTCGCAAGTAAAAAAACAAACAAAAAAAAAACAGAGAGCAAAAAAAATAATCCATCTTCACCCATGGAGGGCACCCGCAGACTGAGCTCTGCAGGGCGGGGGAAGGCTTATAAAGCCTTGCCCTGCCCTGCAATTAGGATAAGAACACTCTGATTGGTTGGTTTAAGCCAATCAGAGTGCTCTGTGTCATTTTACACAGCATGGGAAAGTTCTTTGGAATTTTCCCATGCTGTGTAAAATGACAAAGAGCACTTTGATTGGCTTAAACCAACCAATCAGAGTGTTCTTAGCCTGACAATAGTTCCCCACCTTATTGGTATTTAGGTTCCCCACCCGCCGCTCAGGGGTGGGGTAGGGAGGACATTAGGTTCCCCAACTTATTCTAATTTAGGGCCCCCACCCACCACTCAGGGGTGGGGGCCGTGGGGGGGGGTGCCAATAGGCATAGGCTGCTCACTGCTTAATAGACATGCCCCTACTCCCGGTATAGCGAGTATGGGCATAATTTACTAATACTAAGTAATTTTTACTTAGTATTAGTAAATTTGGCTGAAAAAACAATTCAGGTCTTTCAGCCTTTTAGTAGATAGCTCCCTAATACCGTGGGAATTAGGACGTTATCTACTTATTCATTTTTATTTTATATGAATGTGTGTTACTTGATTGTATACAGTGAAACATTCTTCCTTCTTCCACTGGGTAAGTATATCAGTACTTAGGTAATACTGTGCTTCGGCACTTCGGCACTTCAGCACTTCGGCACTTCGGAACTTCGACACTTCGGAAATTCTGCAATTTCTGAACTTCGGAAATTCAGAACTTCGGCAATTTAGCTATTCGGACATTCGGAAGTACCCGAATGTCCAAATTGCCCGAAATTCGTCCAAATTCACATTCGGACCGAAACGAATTGCACATGTCTAGTATAGTGTCATAAGGATCCAATCTCTGTGAAGCCCAAATGTAATATGTATGGTACCTAGAGTTTTGAGCCACCTCCCTTTACTCTTCCTACTCAATAGTTACCCTTTCTCACACTACCCATTGTTACATTGTTTAGGGACTTTTCCCTCTACATTTATAAGCACGTAAACATTGTGGGTACAAAGTATAATTTATCCTTCATTTGTAAAACAAATGCATTTTAATTAAGAAAAATGTAAAAATCACATTGGTATTTGTTTTATGGAGTTTTTATATATATGTATAAAAAATAAATTAAAAAATAAATAAAAATTGCCAAAAAAATAAATAAAAACTGATCACTTCTCGATGCCTCTCCAAGAACTATATCAGCCTTATCTATAATATTATTTGATTTTTCAATAAGAAGAACATTTACAAACTTTTATGCAAACAAGAGAAAATGTAAATAGTGACCAGATATCTTATTTTTGTTGTGGGAGGTTGTAGAAATTATTCTTTATTTAGCCCCTGACAAATGCTTTTATTTACACTCTCATTTCTACCAAATAAGGTGATGCTTATACCGAAGGACAGAGAACCTTTTTTTTAACATTGCCCTAAATAGGTCTCTTCTGTATCGTAGTAAAAAAAACAAAAACAAAAAAAGCCAACAATAACTACTTCTGCTAATTGGTTTGTTTCTTTAATAAACAATACAAAAGAGAGCTCTAAGAATAAATTAACATCTTGTAAACAGCGGGTATAACATAATTTGATTTCAGTGGTTAGCGAATAATGGAAAAAAACATATTGGAGAGCAATAAAGTTCTCATAAATCAAATTTTGCAAGAGAGAAAATTAATTAAAAAGGCAAAGGTTATAAAAATCTTTTAACCATTTAAATGCAGAGAGTCCACCGTGGCACTGGAGCACTGTGTTACTAAATATTTTTGGGAACTGAATGAGTACATCTTTCAATTTCGCAAGAATGTATTGTCCAGCTCTTTACATTCTTGAGGCTGATGACACATTTTATATTTTATTTGGAAATATATTAAAGTAACACTCCAAGAACCAAAACCATTAAAGGTTCACCGAACGTCACTCCCCACCTCCAGTACACCTGACAGAGGGCCAGCAGCTCTCAGGCTGAGCTAAACGTAGCAGTGCAGAGCTTAGCTCATTGGCTAAGAGTGATCAGCTGATGCTCACGCACTGCAGGGCGTAACCAAGCTTCATGCACTCTCTGCTGAATGTAGTTTAGGTGGGACTCCGGAGGGATGACAGGAAACTCCTGGCACCATAACCACTACAGTGTCCTGAAGTGTTTTTGTTCCTTGGAATGTTCCTCTAAACCCCCCAATCCCTCTCCCCTAGCCCCCAACCACCCCCAAAAAAAAAAGTTAGAGATACATTTTAGGCCCTGATATATTGAAATTCGTGTTATATATTTTCCACATTTCTTTGAAGTAACTACTGGATTATGGCAATGACCTTAAGATATCATTTTTGAAATACCCACAAATCATTTTATGAAAATGTCAATATATGTATCAGATGAACACTAACACAAAGTGTAAATTTGTAGCATTTTAGATAACATGCCATATCAATCCATGTATGATCACACAAAAAAACATATTTAATATGATTACTTAAAGTAATATAAATAATAAAGTGCTTAGTATTATTTAAAAAAACGTGAAAATTTATTCCGAAGTATCAATTTAAATTAAGTGTTAACATACCATATCATTAATGATTTTATCCTACTTAAACCTTAACAACGTCACTCCAGGGAATACAAATATTTTTCCTTTACAAATTTAAAGAAAATGTTACTAAGATGCGGTGCCTCGAATCTAATCTATTCTTAAAATAATTTTTTATTTTCTAATTTTATTTCACCATTATTTATTTTTCATATATTTTCATTTATTATATGGGGATACTTGAATTAAAGATGTTTTTAAACTTGGATCAAAGTCCAGAATCAAGTGAAAATAGTTAATAATAATGACAAGCAATGCAAGTTGATACCGAACAGAACTGTGACAGTGCCGTGTGACCTTGTGACAGAGTAAACGACCTGTTATTCAATCATATGCTCTGGCAGACTCAGCTCCTGAATAGGAAGTGATACAAGGCATTACAGAGCAGATTATGGTTTTTTTTTTGTTTGTTTTTTTTAAAGACAAGTACTTTCCTCTGTTAAGGATTTTTCTAAATGCAAATAAAATATCTAATTCTGTCTAATTTTGTTTTTGTATTTCTCAAAGCTTTCAACTTTCAATTAGCTTTCACCTGTAAGGGAATATTTTGAAAGAAATATTTAGTAGGCAAGCGCTACCACAATAGATGTATCTAACAGACAACACAACTCGCTTTTATTTGTCCTTCAGACTGAGTGATCTTTACACTCTCACTAAAAGTGTTCAGCCAGACGAAAAATGTTGCCTGAACGCCTGTTTGCTTCATATAGAATAAAGACAATAGCGTGTCCTTCAATCCATCTGCGGGAGGGTTACAACACACACATACATATACAACACGCACAAATAAAAGTTTATTCCTGAAAAGCTTTATCTGCGAAGAGTGTGTTCTCTTTTTTTCATTTTGCAAAAAGTGCAGATTTCAATAGAAATTGGCACGTTTATAAATTAAGCTTGTTACAACCCCCCTGGCTGTCACTCAAATAACTGGTTCTGTTACTTCCTGATTGTTTAGCTCAGTGGAGATAAAATACATTTCTTGCAGTAGAACAGTAAGCCCATGAACTAAAAAATTTCAAATATATCTCCTTTAGTACATGGCCAGTGTAATAATCCAATTACTAAAACATTTGAATCTGTGTTGTTTATGTTTCCCTGCTTATTACATATCTTAGTTTCTCCATCTTCTCCAAAGTAAGCATATATATCGACAGTCATGGCTTTTATCTGAAGACCTAGGAGACTTGTTTAGATCAAAATTGTTTGTCCAGGATTATTCAGTAATGACGTTTAATACATTACATACTATGTGCCACGTTCTACCACTTGTAAACAACACACAAAGTGAGCTGTTTTACTAACACATACTTTATTAAAGGACAGAGAATACAATATTTTTGGAAGAACCATTCTTGTGGATGGGGAAACTCACACTCAGCAATCAAGAGGCAAAAAAAAAAAGATATTGACAGGATATTGACAGGACGTGATTCATCACATGCAGAACAAACACTTTTCACCTATTTTAACTGTTTTGCAGAAATATTCTTCTAGAAGTTGGTGGTTTACTGCAAAATGTCACATATAAGCCAAATAGTTATTCTGTCTTGAATAAAAATAGTACACAAAATAAGATATTTTTAAGGAATGTATAGTGTCAACCTTCTGTAAATGCTTGCAAGCCTCAAATAATTATAGATACAGTTCAGCACAATATATTTCAGATGAGCAAACATTCTGTCACTTTAAAGTCAGGTGTGTCACGATATACTATGACCCAACACGCAGTGTCTACGTAAAACTACATATATTGTAAATGCTTTAGAAATACACGTATTACTGGGCCTTAGAATGAACTTAACGTAAATATATAGTATGGTCAGAGACAAGCGAAGGTCAGAGATACAGAATGAGACAGACAAGCCAATATATAAAGTATATCAGAAATAAGAATAGTCAAGAATAAGTCGTGGTCAAAATGTTAAATAGAAAAACAAGAAAAACGCACTCTCTGATTATCGGTGATTGGAAACCACGACAGGGCACTGATATAAACCTAATATAAGTTTAAATAGCCTTAAGATGCCAGGGATTGGCTAGAATTGACCTTGTTATGCCAAAACGTGCATGCACGATGACATAATGGCTCACCAACTTTGCGTCATTCAGGACAGTCAAGGAGACGGAGCTATAAACATGCTCCATCGGGAGGTTGCCAGCGTCTGTAAGAATGCCACACCGGGGAGCCAAACCAGTCACATGATAGCACCTCTCCGGCACCATGACAACGTGAGATAAAAGACATAGTTTGACTTCTTTACTGCCATGACAAAGGCCGTTAGTGATTGGTCAGTGTCATTTTCGTGTTCCAAATGAAGCTTTGGCAGTAATATTATGTAACCCACAACATTATTGGAACGCACCTGGGTTGCTCTGGCGATTGCATCATTTTGATGCAAACACAGACTCCCATTTAGAGGTGTATTTAAAGATGCGCATGAGCAGCATGCAGCATCAGGGAGAATGCTGGGATTGAGAAGAAGAGTCGCGTCAACTCCCACAATTGCTCTGTGACGAGATAAGTTGCATAATTCTTGATTGTTTGTGCACATGTACTGGGTATGAGACACCAAAAGCACTACCCATTAAATTAACATGGACTATCCAAAGATGCCACTTATACATTCTGTAGGACACTAGGAGATCTTGATTGATAGTCAACATAAACCTTGTAAGCCCCAAAGATGTCCAAGGTTGAATAATCAATAATTACCTGCCCAAATTCAACTCAGGTAAAACAAAGCTGCACATAATATAAAGAAGTCTTCAACAATCACTCAACATCTCCTAATAAGCTGTTTAACATTACTTTTGGTAACAAACTCTCATGAAAAGCTTACCTGAAAATACGATTGATGTTGGGCCGAATAATATAACTGTATAACAGATACTTCCAAGAACATCTACAGTACAGATACTATCAGGAGCACTTACATCACACTGTGAGTAATAGACAGAAACAATGACCACATTGATGGGTCTCTTCATTCGTGGCATTGTGGACCATCTCGGACAGAATTATCCATGGTGCAAATGTATGTCTGACTCTCTCTACATAAAACTTAAAAGGACACTATAGTCACCTGAACAACTTTAGCTTAATGAAGCAGTTTTGGTGTATAGAACATGCCCCTGCAGCCTCACTGCTCAATCCTCTGCCATTTAGGAGTTAAATCCCTTTGTTTATGAACCCTAGTCACACCTCCCTGCATGTGACTTGCACAGCCTTCCACAAACACTTCCTGTAAAGAGAGCCCTATTTAGGCTTTCTTTATTGCAAGTTCTGTTTAATTAAGATTTTCTTATCCCCTCCTATGTTAATAGCTTGCTAGACCCTGCAAGAGCCTCCTGTATGTGATTAAAGTTCAATTTAGAGATTTAGATACAATTATTTAAGGTAAATTACATCTGTTTGAAAGTGAAACCAGTTTTTTTTTCATGCAGGCTCTGTCAATCATAGCCAGGGGAGGTGTGGCTAGGGCTGCATAAACAGAAACAAAGTGATTTAACTCCTAAATGGCAGAGAACTGAGCAGTGAAATTGCAGGGGAATGATCTATACACTAAAACTGCTTTATTTAGCTAAAGTAATTTAGGTGACTATAGTGTTCCTTTAAGAAACCCATCTGTGAACTATAATTCAGCCATCCTTTCCAAATATCCTACACACGTAAAATGTGACCTTTCACCAGCTGATCTCTGCTAATCTTTAAACGTCCTCACTATTTGTGCAAACCTCCTAACATTTTAAATTAACCAATAGGGGCACTTTCATTTTAGCTGTGTTTGTAGGAATGTTGCCAGGGGCAGGCTGCTCTGAGGAATTTTAAGTGACTTATTAATAACATTTTATACAACTAAGATGTAATTTAGCACAAGAACAATGTATCTTATTTACACAGACGGATTTCCAAACATATTTATTGAAGTTTAATGACAGGGCCGGCACAGGCAGCCTCCATTGGGCGCTTCAGCCAAAGGAACCAAAGGAAGAGACTGGCAGGAGGTGGGAACAGAGTACCCCTCTGCCGCCGGCCACTCTCTGTAACCATGCAGAATGCCCATGTGAACCATTTAGTCGGCTGTTGTACTCTGGTGTCGGTACACGCCAAGTGAGTTGGGAAGAAAATGTGTGCAGCTAGGAGTCTCTGCGGACAGTCGCGTTATGAGCTAAAGGCTGCTGGGATACATGACATCATATCCCAGCAGCCAAGTGCTGTGAAGAGAGAAGGGTTCAATAGAGCAGCAACACCTGGTGGGACCTCTGGTAAGAAACAGTAAGTGTGTATGTATGTATATGAACGTGTGTGTGTCTGTGTGTCTGTGTGTAAGAGCCAGTGAGCGAGTAAGTATAGGAGTCAGTGTGTGTGTATAAGAGCCAATGTGTGTGAGCCAGTGAGTGAGTGTGTAAGAGCAATTGTGTGTGTGTGTGTGTATGTAAGTCAGTCTGCGTATGTGTTTGTGTGTTTGTGTATTTAGTATATGAGCTAGTGAGTGGGTATGAATGTGTGCATATGAGCAAGTGAGTGTTTGTATATGAGCCAGTGTGTTTCTGTGTCAGCAAGTATGTGTAAGCCAGTGTTTGTGTGTCTATGACCCAGTGTGTTTGTATATGCCTATGTATGAGCCAGTGAGTGCATGTGTGTATAGAGTAGGAAAACTTTGTCATTGAGAGTGAGTATGGGTCAGTGAGCGATAGTGTGTAAGAGGGTTTCCATTCCTATATATTTTATTTTTTCTTTTAAAAAAATATTTATAATATATATCTATATATATATATATATATATATATATATATATATATATATGTATGACACACTAAAGAGAGGAGTAAGAAAATCAGAGAGGTATGAGAGACATAAAGGACATAAAAAAAATAATTTATCTTTTACTTTCTTATTCTCATTTAATATGTTATTTTTTTTAAATGTTTACATCTATTCTTCCAGATCATATTTAAAAGAAACGCTATAAAAACATATATAAACAATGGACATATTGTAGTCTGGTTAGCCTAGTTTATTAATAGACATCCTTAAAACGTGAATCTAAATAAGTGTTCAGATTTTTTTAAATTTTTTTTATTTATCATGTGTCAACGAACGTGTCTGTGGTATTATGTATGGGAAAGAACATTGCAGACAGTGACAGAGCCAGGGATCAATGTTAAAGAAAGATGTGTGAGTCATCAGAGTTTACACTCTCGACACGTGGAATTCTAATGGTGTGTTTAGCATACTTAGTCCAAAACAAGGACATCTGCAAACACAAATTTAGTTTTCCTGGTGCGTATTAATGCATAATCGTTGCACTACTTTCTATTTTTTATTTTATTTTTTTATTTTTAAAGAATCCTTCTCACATAAATGTCAACTCGATTCTAAATGCTGGGTCTGAAGCGAATAGTGTGAATTTGTGAAGACGCTCACCTCAAATGACCTACCAAGCAATGAACACAACTTATAATTCAGAATTTTTTTTTATTTTTTTTTCCTCCTTCTATTTGAACCGTTAACCCTGTGAACTGAAACAGGAGGCTGTAGAAAAGGACGGGAAATGTTATACGCCTGTAAATTTATATCATAGGGCTGATGATTGAGAAATTAATTAAAGAGATTTATATCTTTCTTTTTTTTCGGGTAAGGAAATTTAAATAAAGGGAGCAGAGATCTCAGATATTCTTTCAGCTGAAAACTCGCCATTGGATGTTTAGGAATTCTAAAGTTTGTTAAGATGTTATGAACAAATAGAGGACTGGCTTGGACATTGAAGAAAACAGCTGCAGGATGAGTCCTGGATGGACTTCAACAGGAAGAGAATTAAGAAGCCATGCTCAGAGCGTTAAATGGATATTCTGTGTGCCAGCGAATATTTATTGAATATGCTTTTATTCTTTTATTTCGGAACGCACAGGATTCTGTCGTTATATTCTCATTTTCTTGTTATATGTTTTTTCTCTATAATTTTTTTTTTGCTGCAATAAATTATCTCAATAATAATATATTTTTTGTATATCTCTTACATGCTGTTCTTCATATCTCGTGTTCTTTTCACAGTGGCGTTAAAGGGGAATGGTCCCAGCTCTTGAATTAAAATAATTGAATAAAACATTGAAAATCACCAATAAATTGTGTTAATGTTTTTTTAATGAGATGCAGTGTTTTCTTTTAAATGTATTGTAAAACTTGAGCAAATTACATCATAATCCAGTTCAGATGAGGCAAAGTCAGGGCACAGGATACAAATGAAGAAAAGAAATAGAAACATTCTTCTCTGTTTGCTTTCTCTGTACGGACTGTCAGGTGCAAAGGATACAATTTATAGCGATGATTGACAGGGAGCTAAGATGGAGGCGCCCAGTTGCACGATACAAAGATATGTATTTCCACATTTAATTTTATTTTTATTCACCTCACAAAAACATATATGTTAATTGTAGGGATATATAAACATAATATTAAAAGAGGCTAACATTTATGGATTTAGCAATCATAAAGGATATTTATTTTTATTTGGCAAACTAAAATGTGACCGTGCATAACTGTTTTGTTTTGCATTGCTTACCTCCTCAAATTCTGTAAAATAAAATCTAAATTGAAAAGACTAAGGCACAAAATCACAATAATTTTTTTATTTAGTGATAAATGCACACAGCAGCTAAAATACAGAAAGAAAGCTGAAAGTACTGAGCAGTCCAACTACTCTTTAAAATGTGCGTACAATACCATATTTTACATTTATTGCTGTATTTTAGTGAGCACTATATTGTTTCTCTTTCTTTCTATATTTTCGATATTCCATTTAGGAGATTGAGACCAAAATACATCCCCGGGGCAGGGATTTACAGCACTTTTTATTTATTGCCACTATTATTTATTGGCCATACTGCACTATTGGATTTATTTTCTTTTGTAATTTGATATCCATTACAGAAAACCATACACAGCACCTATACCTATTACTGGGGATCACACCACTACAAGCTACTGTGACTGGAGCTTGTTTGAAGCTCCATATTATGTGAGTGCAGATTTTTCACGTGTTGTGTCTTTACTTACAGAGAAGTCCTACACCATAGGTTATTTAGTTTTTTTTCTCTTTTAAATGTACCCATGGACATAGAATTTATAGCAAGGGGAAGCAAGCTCATTTGGTGTATACTCTATATCTTGGTGTGTGCTCTTTGGACTCTTTTAGATTTAAATTTTATATTATTTGGTACAATCTACTTTTTTCTTCTTTAATTTTGTTTTTCATTATTCAAGGGAGTGAGGGAATCTCTTGTGTAGAGTGTTTGATGCCTAAAGTTATCAGTTGTTTGAATTTTTAGCGCTAATCCATCTTTATGCGTCTTGCTTATAGAAAGTCATGTCAATGGCTGCTTTTAACAGCAAGCAAGGAGATTGATGCATGGGTAGCATATAGTCTCAATCACCTATTGGTTCATACCATGTAAATAGTGCCAGCTGTCAATATTAACTCCAGAGTCACTTACTATTGTCAACACCAGGGAGAAAACATTCAGTTTTATTCTTATTGTATCTCATAATAAAAAACAATTACCACAAAAGTTCATGTTTGCGGCCTTTTGTTCCAAAAACAAAAACACTATGCAATAAATGTATTCAGTTTTGAAACCTTAATATTCCTTTAAATGCCAATTGTGTCATTTCAAGCCTATTTGTAATGGATACGGTCTCCTAGAACAAGCTGTTCCAAAGTACATCCTGGGCGAAGGATCCAATGCAAATGCTAGGCCGTTTAGACGAAGCTTTGTTTGCACAGCTAACTTTCTGCAGTTCATGAAGAAGTCCTTCTCTATCCTGTCACCGGAGATGATGAATAATAATCTGTCTCACGTAGGACAAGAAAAACAAAACAAAAAAAAACCCCCACAAAGATTCACCTATTAAAAGTGCATGTTCCCACTGTCCATTGAAAGAAGAAAAAAAAAAGATATTTGTGGATCACAAATAGAACAATTTATTCATCAACCTGTTCTCATGCAGAATATTCTTAATGTTACAACTAAACAATCAATTTTTACTCTTTAATTTGTAGACCTGGAAACAATAGAACTACGAGATTGTAGTAAGTTTATGTCAGGATGCGACTAGGTCCAACACGCAGAGTTAGTCAGACTTTGCAAAAGGAGGGAGTAGGATGGATCAATATGTATTACTGTTCCCTAGAGGTGGCCAGGCTTAACTTAAAACATCAATGAAGAAATATGGAGAAATCATTAAACTAGCCAAGGTCAAGGATCACAGAAGGTCACAATAACGAGACAAAGCCAAGGTCAAGGGTTACAGAAGGTATTGTAGGCGAGACAATCCAGAAACAGTAAACTGGGAATCAGGATAAGCAGTAAGAAATTCGTCCTCGGGTCATCACAAGGGAAACCGTGACAGGTCAAAGGCTAGCAGGCAAGGAGGGGTTTCAATAACCCTAAAACACTGGTGATTGGCTTGCATCATTTCTGCAAAGGCATGTGTATGATGTCACAGGAATGACACAGGTGAACCTGATGCAGAAATGATGCAAAATATCTGTCTCAGGAACAGATGCAGGGCTGGAGCAAGCAGCGTCCAAAATGTTGTTGCATAGATAGAAGTTGTGGAGTTGAGTGCTAAGATGGACACTATTATGACGTGAGCATGGTCAAACTTCATCAAGTGTGATGTAAGGAGAGTGCATCAGCCCAACAGGTATCATAACAGTTTATTGGTAAATGTATGCCTCCAACGTTTGAAGCCAAGACTTTGTCTACAACCGCCAACACATACCCTCGGAGCTTATAGCACATTTTGGACAAACTCCCAACGCATGTCTGCTTAGAGTTGTGACTAATAAATATCCTTGGCATGCTAATTCCCTTTTTTAACAAATTGAAATCTGAATGGTAAAATCAATGCTAAAATCATTTTAACCTATTTCAACCTCAGTATTGCCATTAAGGTATTAACATCCTTTAGTGAATATTCCTCTGGTTAATGTGTAAACCAGCTATAATCCCATCATAGACTCAATATTGTTTTATGGGCTCCATCAGGTTGCACAATTTAACTGAGCATTTTCTTGTGTTAGGTTTGTAAGGTGCTCTGGGTCATCAAATTTTGACTACATAAATTATTCCTTTGTATGCCAAAAATTTTTAAAAAATACTATGTCTTACAATTTGCTCCAAAACGCAAGACACCTTCCAATATTATACAAGGATAGGTGATGACCTCAAAATTACTACTGCAGATTATCTCATTTTACAGATTGTCCTTAGTAGCAGCTAAACTAAGGTTCTGTTATCCTGTCTTCAACATTGGCCTGTATCTTAAGACCAGGCTACTTAAGGGCAAATTAACTATACAAACCTCAGAGCTCCGACTTCGACATATTGAAGATAATTGCTCTTGAAGGAAGTGCCCCTGCTTTGCTCTCAGAGGCCAGATGGGTCAGAGATTAAACCAGAAAATGGCTTGTCTGGGTTTTCCTTGATGTTGATTAACCCATGTTAGGGACAGGGGAATCAACAGTAAACGGCAGCTCGATTCATTTTCTCGATGCATAATTGTGGCAAGCAATGAGATAATCTTTGGGAAAAAAATATCACACTCCAATAAGAAATTCTGATTATTTTTTTTACGGACAGGGATATTTACTAAAGTGAATTTCAATTTTAAGACCAAAGTTGTCGAAATTGGACGCATAGCTGACTTAGAGAATGCTTCCAGTTTGGCTATTTTGCACTTGAGTTTGAAATTCACTTTGACATTTCATTTAGATATAAATCTGTAAACAGTGAAAAAGGGTCAGTTGTCAAGCGATTTGCAACGGTTAGGCCAAAATATCAAGTATATCATACACAGTGGATTTTGTCATAGATCCTCGGACTTGGCAGGGCAGTTTTTTGGAATATCTTCGAACAAGTACAGACCAATAAATCAACGGCATTCTTACTCTCCAGAAGAAAGTGTTCATTTAACCCCTTAAAGGCCAGTTGTAAGTTTGAAATAGTTGCATAGTTAAATAGCTGAAAAGAGACTTGCGTCCATCAATTTCTGCCTTTCTCACATTTAATTATTGCTGTTAATCCAAAAAAAGTAATAAAACCCAGTCTAAAGGGCTTCCAATTGTGCAACAAACTAGGAAAAAAATCCTTTTTGACTCCAGAATGTCAGTCAGATCTCTCCTTGGCTCAAGAAGCTATTACCCCACTAATTAAAATGTGTATCCTTGTATATTATGTTTTTGGAAGTATTTTTCCAACTGCTGATTAAACATCTGTATAGACTCTGATAAAACCACCTCTTCAGGCAGAGAATTCCACATCCTTAAAATCAAACTCATGGTCTTTGAAGTTCCTGTTTCAAAAGTAAATGTTCTACTTATTAAATGGAAGTCGGAACAAAAATAAGATGGCAAAACATAATGATAGCGGAAGGGATGTAAGGGTGTAACCTTGATGCAGGCGTGGTGGACCCAAATTTCAAGAAATTTGGGAATAGAAACACTGCTGCCTGGTTAATAAACAAAACCAAAAACATACCCTATGTCAGACTACATCTCCCATAATGCTCTCACAGCCCTAATGCTGATATAGTCCACAACATTTGGTATGCTGAAGGTTGCATCTCCCCTGGCCTATGTTTTTAGATCGAAATAGGCTGGATCAGTGGGACAGCTGTTGATAAGTGCACTGTCCATTAAAGGTTAACCATTGTTCCTTATACTACAACATTGTAATCATTTTGCTATGTGTATTTTTTTGTTTTTTTTTAATGCACGATATATTTCCTTTTCCCAAAATTATGTACACCTGGAGCCACCTGCCATAATTATCACTCCCCCTTTATTTTTCTAATTTTTTTTTTAAAGCGGGGGGCTTTCTACCCCTGCCTTTCTTTTTTTTCTCACTTTTTCTGTTAGTCTCAGACCACACATGCTTTTTCTGTTAGTCTCAGACCACACATGCTTATTTACATATAAAGCCTCTTAAATAAACGCAATGTATATGATCTTTATGTATTTATTGCTTCTGCTGCCTCTAAATGATTTTTTGATAAACCTGTTTTAAAATTTATACTTCAATAAAAATGATCTACTGAAAAGAATTGTCATGAATAAGGATTCGTCTGAGTTTTATTATAGCAGTGGTTCTTAACCCTTCGAGTATGGTCTTTTATTGGCTTTCCAATGGTTCAAACAGACACTATATTCATTAGGCAACAGGCAATTGGCCACAATATGATTGTTATCGTTAGCAGAACTGCCTTGCCAAGAGCAAAAATGGAGTTCACTGCACATGTTTTTCACAGTTTACGTATACATTATAATACAAGTGAAGAATGGGTCACTGTCCTATTCCGGAACTCAAGAATGACTCTCCAATCTAATTCAATGTGTTTAAACTCAATCCCTGTCAAATGAAGGTTAAAGCTTTATTCCAACCCAAAATCAGTGGTTTTCATTAAAAAAAACTGTTTTTTGTTAGAGTAACCCTTTGTGAGGTGATATGCCCTCTGTTACCTCTGTTCTATCAGAGTCCAGGTTGTACCTGCAGCCTTATCCTCCTTGCCTGACGTCATATTCCCATTGCCAGAGGGTGTCGTAGAGCAGGGATGAGGGGATGAGATGGGCGGCATGGAGTGGGGGTCCATGTCACCATTAGCATCAGCAGGTTGGCAAATGACGCTGCCAGAGGTGGAATTACAACTCTGGCTGCTAAGGGGTAAACATTTATATGTGCAGCGTTTCATAACAAAAAGCTACACATACAAACTCAAGACACCATGACCACTTCACATCACTGAAGTGCTGATGGTGCTTGGAATAGTCCTTTAAGAAACAGTAATTAATAGAGTAGGTAGATTTAGCATAGTTTCCAATATATTTTTCTTTTAACATTATCATTTACTAAACTGAATTGTAGAGAATTACATATTTAGTCCAAAGTAGCAAAATAAATTAACTAAGGCATGGGGTGCCAAGATAGACTTTACTCTTTGATCTTTGTTTATTTTAACTGGAAATAATGAGCAGCATTCAGCATAGTAAACAGGGAGCAATCTGTTCACTAAGTAGGTACATCACATTTGAAACCCAAAATGAAACTTTTCGGGCAAAAATAGACTAATAGGAGAGATATCCAGCTTGCATTGTCCATGTTAAGTGTTAGGAACTCAATTTTGAATCTTGTCCAGAATTCACTAAATGGAGCATTGATGGCTGACCTCTGTGACGTTTGTGTATGATATTTCCCATGATGCTTAGCTCACCTTAAAGATATTTGAACATCATGAGGAACGTATTCCATAGGTATAAAAAAATCTGTCAAAGTTAGTCATCATTGGATTAGAGAATACATTCCACCAATTTCCATCCACAATGCAAAGAGTTAAATAATGACTGACTCCAACCAAATGTTATTATACAGGAAAGTTAAATGAGTTTCTTAGTTCATCCAAGTAGCTTTGCCCATCCTTGAATTATAACTGAATAACACTCACAAACAACT